GAAGAAAATGGATGGATGGATGGATGGATGGATGGATGGATGGATGGATGGATGGTTGGATGGATGGACTTTTTAAAAAGTGTGTTTGTGCGCAAAAGGTCATCAGTTACTTTCTGTCCAAGCTAGCAGACGTGAAACAAACTGCAGGTGATACCTGCAGGTGGTGATCAGGTCTGAAGCCTGATCAGTGGGTCAGAGTTCTTCTAAAGTTGTTTTCTCCTGGAGAAKCTGAATTAAAGTGATGTTTCAGTGAAACTTTGGGCTTTAATGGTCCGAGTGACTCATGTTCTAAAAGTGTCGACAGTAAGACTGATTTCTCAGCCTGACTCACTCGCTCCTCGCTCGGATCCCTGCAGCACTTTTCCATCCACCTCCTCACCCTGCCAGAGAGACACGAAGCTGCTGTTTGAAAATAAAACCTAAAYCCCCTCCGAGAATTAAATGTCAGAGAATCAGCTCCTCGAGCGTCATGAGATCTGCGTTCTGGGTTCAGACAGGAGACTCCAGCCCACCAGCTCAAAAACCTTCTGCTGCTTTATTAAAAAACAGAGCTTAAAGTTGAAGCTGCTGTGATTCTAAATACATCCAGTCTGAGCCTGACTCACAGTCCAAGTGTTTATCTGGATTATAACAAATACCTTACAGAGCAAACATCCAACCTAACTACAGGAAGTGCTTCATGAACTAACTGTTCATCTGTTTCCTGCCTTACAGCGATTGACCTGATCAACAACCTGCTGCAGGTGAAGATGAGGAAGAGGTACAGCGTGGATAAGACCCTCAGTCACCCCTGGTTACAGGTGAGGAAGACTTCAGTCAACAGACCTCAGAAAAACAAGAGATAAAAAGAACTCCGAGCTCCGGTCAGGCTGAAGGTGCGTTTGTTTTCTTCACCAGGACTACCAGATGTGGCTGGACCTGAGGACGCTGGAGACTCGGATGGACGAGCGCTACATCACCCACGAGAGCGACGACCTGCGCTGGCTTCACCACGCCCAGCTCAGCGGCCTGGACTACCCCACCAACCTGCTGAACGGCTCCCGCAACCTGATGGAACCAGGGCTGGACCACTACAGAGACAATGAGGAGGAGCTGCAGACCCTCAGTGAGAGGGTCAGCGAGCTCTGAGGGGGTCTGAGGTGGTCTGAGCTGGTCCAACAACAATGTGAAAAGTGTTGAGTTAAATACTATGGTGCAGTATGTGGGCCAAAGCTAAGACTATTGTTCAACCAGCAGTTACATCCTTGTATCAGGAGGTTACATCTGTTCCTAAAGCAGCTATTGATCTGATTAATGATAGGCTGACACCACTAACTGAGAGGCTGGAGCTGCAAATGAGGAGGAAATTATTAATTTGAGTTAGCATCAGAGAGGATAGCGACTAGCATGGATATGCTGGCATTAGCATTGGAGAGGCTAGCAACTAGCATAGACAATCTGGTGTTAGCATCAGAGAGGCTAGCAACTAGCATAGACAATCTGGTGTTAGCATCAGAGAGGCTAGCAACTAGCATAGACAATCTGGTGTTAGCATTGGAGAGGCTAGCAACTAGCATAGACAACCTGGTGTTAGCATCGGAGAGGCTAGCGACTAGCATAGATAAGCTGGCATTAGCATCGGAGAGGCTAGCGACTAGCATGGATAAGCTGGCATTAGCATCGGAGAGGCTAGCGACTAGCATGGACAGGGCTCTCAAGTCTCATGCATTGGCCATAAGACACACATTTTAGGGTGTGCACACTCCACACTTTGAATTTCTCACACGAAAGCACAAACCCAAACACACACACACACTCACTGAATGTACAGCTCAGTGTTTGTCTCTCTGGCTGGACAGACCTGTTCGGATGAACCGCTCACTTTGCCTGAAAAGATCCATCTCCATGGCTCCGCCCACTTTAGTGTTTTTATTCCTGCATTGGGAGTCCTGCACGCTGCGTTAATCTTAATAATTTTTATTTCTAAATGTTTGGGTGTTTGTAACAGATATTTCAGTTTGATATATCTAATAACTTATGGACACAGTAATATTTCAGAACTGAAATGAGATTTATTGTACTAACAGAAAATGTGCAATATGCATTTAAACTAAATTTGACAGGTGCAAAAGTATGTGTRCCCTTATCATTTTATTGATTTGAATACTCCTAACTACTTTTTACTGACTTACTGAAGCACAAAATTGGTTTGGTAACCTCACTGAGCTTTGACCTTCATAGCCAGGTGTGTCCAATCATGAGAAAAGGTATTTAAGGTGGCCAATTGAAAGTTGTTCTCCTTTTTGAATCTCCTCTGAAGAGTGGCATCATGGCCACCTCAAAAAARCTCTCAAMTGATCTGAAAACAAAGATTGTTCAACATAGTTGTTTAGGTGAAGGATACAAAAAAGTGAATACTTATGTGTAAAAGTATGTTTAACAACCTGTTAAAACAGGAAATGGCTTCTACTTCATTCAAATTTGTTGCCGATGCTAGCACCAGCCTTTCCATGCTAGTTGCTAGCCTCTCTGATGCTAACACAAATGAATAAGTCTCCTCCTCGTTTGCAGCTCCAGCCTCTCAGTTAGCGGGGTCAGCCTATCATTAATCAGATCAATAGCTGCTTTAGGAATAGCTATAACCTCCTGAGACAAGGATGTAGCATCTGCTGGTTGAACAATAGTCCTACTTTTGGCCCTCATATTGCACCATAAAATACAAGATCAGGATTAAACACATTTTATCAGGTTCCAGCAAAGTTTTCTACAAACCTGAAGTCTCTGATCTGTAGGACCTCAGCTCTGTCTCACAGCAGGACCATGTCCACGTTGGACCATGTCCACGTTGGACCTTGTCCACGTTGAACAGGGTTTTCTACACCTGCATCAGTTTTACTCATTTATTTAGAATTTCCTTTTGAACACAAAGTCTGAAATGTTTCTTTAACTGATAATTTTAATTCAGTTCAGTTTATTTATATATCTCCAAGTCCCAACATGCGTTGTCTCAGGACACTGTAGATAAAAAGAACAATGTAAAGA